AAGGATTCGACTGAGCTTCAAAAGGACCTTACTTTCATTGAAGAATGGGCAGTGAACAACGGTTTAAAACTCAAACAACCGAAGTGTCACGTCATGTACATTCTGCCCCACATGACACAGACGATATACACCCTCAATGGAAGTCCGCTCCTTGATGTCTCCTCAGAACGCGATCTAGGTCTGATAACGACTGGGAGCCTACACACCAACTCGAACTACATAGGAGACGCAGACAAAGTAAATGTAACTATTCATTTTATGTGAAGACAAATTGGTGCTATCACCTCTGAGATATTCTTAACGTTGTTTATGAAAATGCACGCCCACACCTTTAGGTTCAAAACGTCGTCGTATCCCCTCTCCTTGAAAGGAACGCAAACCTTTGGATCGAGTGTAGAGACGAGCAACAAAATGGGTGGTAGGGCTTAATGACTTAAGAGGATAGGTTCCAGCATTTGGGTATTGTTCCCCCTGAGTTACAGGAGAACTAGAGATGATCTGACAATGGCGTATAACATGTTAAGCACGCCAAACCATCACAGCGTGAGCATCATACCGATGCATCAACACCACGCCCCTTGAGGTTATCCTCGACAAATTGCTCATCAAAGAGCGAATATTCAGGTTCGTGCACACTTTTTCTCATTAAGAGTCATTGCAACTTGGAATGCTCACCCCGTTGAGGTGACTACAGCCCCCTCAGTGGATAGCTTTAAGAAAAGACTTGATAAAAACGTAACCACATACGGATCATCATCTCCCTCGTGGACAAACTGTGCCTGATGCAGGCCTTGAGACTCGCTAGTCAATAATACTGCCATCTCCTCAGATCGATCACTTAATCTATCTCGTCTATTATCTCTGTTTCCTCTTCCTTAAAATAAATTGTAAATCATTTACTTAGTCCTGAAATCTTACTCTTATCAGCATTAGAATTTTCTCCTTATTATTCTCCACATTGTGACTAACTGATCTCCGGTCTGGTAATGTGATAGCTGCTGGTATCCAGAAACCCTACTGTCCTGAAACAAATGTATTCACTCAAATCAAGGGACATATAAACTCACAAACCACTGCCAACTGACTAGAATTAGAAAGTCTGGTGGTCAGACCCCCATACAATGGACACTACCAAACACCTGGAACCGTGCAGAAAGAACAAGACGTTGGATATTGGTGGAGATGTCAATACCCCATCTTTAAATCTCGTCAATCAGAGTATAACTCCTAGTGGTTGGTTCCAAAGGCAACTTGGTACAGCCATAAGAAGCTGTCGGCTGACTTAGCACGTATGCAGTGCCACTAGGTGGACTAAGGAAGGGAATTCCTCAATCGTGGATTATCTGCTAACTAATGACCAGCTCCTGGTTGAGGATGTTCACGTCCGCGCACCAGTAGGATGTAGTGATCATGGCACAGTCTTGTGTAACATGGTCATAAACGAAACACTCACACGGGACGATAACGAGCCTTACCTTTGTTACAATAGGGTAAACTACATACGCATGAGATAGGTCCTACTACATGCCCCATGGCCACGGGAGTGGTGGAGACTGACAGTAGATTATCACTGGCAAACAGTGGGAGATACCTTCCAGGATGCTGTCGTAGACGATGTATCTCAGTCACACCGAAAACGCGGGAACAGAAGAACCTGAGTTAGGCGCGGCACTGATTTTTTGCTGCAGGCGAAGAGGAGAGCCTGGCACAAGGGGAAGGTCTCCTTGAAGGATTCTGATCGCAGTTCTTACTTGGTATTGAGAAACACATGCAACACCAAAGTTCGAAGCGACAGGAGACAATTTCAGATGAAGCTAGCTGCCAAAATAGAGGCAATTCCGAAAAATCTGTTTAGGTTCACGTCGAAAAGAAAACCTACTAATCAAGGGTTGCGTTCTCTAAAAGGACCAAACGGGGAAGACCTCACCAACCTAGAGTTGGTTGAGATCTTCAACACCAATTTTGCTGAACAGTTAAACCAGGCTCCTACATGTTCAAATTATTATGCCAACCGATTTCCTACTGACGGCTTAGTGTACATCCTTATCACTCCTGACCTTGTACTGAGGAAACTAAAATCCTTACGCTTATGTAAGTCACCAGGTTGTAACAAAATCCGCCCTATAGTCTTGCAACAGTGTGCTGCGACCTTTTCAGGCATTCACTGGAGTCACACCAATTCCCAGCTGAATGGAAACAGGCTACTCTCCAATCTTCAAAGGACGAGAGAGAAAGAACTCAGCCTGTTACAGACCAGTCGCACTACTACCAACATTATCAAAGGTTATGGAAGGGCTAGTGGACGAACAAATGAGGGAGTACATGGAAAAGAATAAAATACTCCATGAAGCTCAACACGGGTTTCAGAAAGGCAGGTCGTTTTCATCTAATCTCCTCATCGCATGGTCCAGTTGGACATCCTGTCTGCACCGTAAAATACCGGTACACGTAATATTCCTTGACTTTGCAAAGGCCTTTGACACAGTACCTTACGCACGTCTAATCGAAAAGGTTGTGGAAATGGGCTTCATTGACCCACTCTTATCTTGGCTCAGAAACTACCTTGAGAATAGAAAGTTTCGCACCAAAATAGTCAGAGTGCACGCGAGTTGGAGAGTATCCACTTCGGTAGTTTCACAGGGGCCATCCTAGGCCCACTCCCCTTCCTGATATTTATTAACGACCTGCTAGGCTCAGTTAGCTCACTGGCATTGATCTACGCAGACGATAAAAAGATCTGGAGATCCATTAGAAGCGAATCGGAATAGACTGAGCTTCAAAAGGACCTTACATCTATTGAGAAATGGGCAGTGAAAAACGGTTTAAAACTCAACCGACCTAAGTGCCACGTCGTGCATTTCTTGCATCATATGACGCAAACGACCTATACCCTCAATGGAAGTCCGCTCCCTAATGTCTTTTCAGAGCGCGATCTTGGTTTAATAACCACAGAAAGCCTCCACATCAGTCCAAACTATGTAGGGGATGCAGCCAAGGTGAATGCGACTCTTCACTTTATGCGAAGACAGCTTGGTGCTATCACCTCGAAATTATTTTCAGCCCTGTTTAAGACGTACGCGCACCCACACTTGGAAGTTCACAACGTCATTGCACCCCTTCTGCTTAAAAGAGACATTAATCTCTTGGATCGAGTGCAGGGACAAGCGACCAAATGGGTGATAGGGTTGAAAAATAAACCCTACGACGATAGACTCCAGCTCTTGGGATTATTTCCACTGAGCTACAGGAGAATCAGAGGCGACCTGATTATGGCGTACACCATATTAAACACGCCAAACCATCCCAATGTGAGCATCTTACCGATGCATCACCACTAATCCCCTCGAGGCAATCCTCGAAAAATTGCGCATCAAAGAGCGAATACTCAAATTCGTGCACACGTTTACTGATTGTGAGTCGTTGCAACTTGGAATGCTCTCCCAGTCCAGGCAACCACAGCCCCCGCAGTGGACTTCTTTAAGAACAGACTTGATAATCACGTACTCACATACGGATTATCATTTCTCTCTTTGACAAGCTGTTCATGATGAATATCTTGAGACCTGCTTGTTGTTATCATCGCCATCTCCTCAGATCACTCAATTATTCTATCTCGCCTATTATCTCTGTTTCCTCTCCCTTGCTTACACTTCGGTCCTCTCTCACAATCCTCACTACCAATTAACAAACTAAACTCATATATATTTTACTCAGTTCTGAAAGTTTATTCATATTATCATTATAATTTTATCCCCATTACCCTTATTACTCTCCACATTGCAACTAACTGATCTCCGGTCTGGTATTGTGACGGCTGCTAGTATCCAGAAACCCTACTGCCCTGAAACAAACGTTTCATCCAAATTTGGAGACATACAGACTCATAACCAACTGCCAACTGACTAGAATTAGACAGTCGAGCGGCTAGACATCCATCCATTGGACATTACCGAACACCTGGACCGTACCCAAAGAACAAAAATCGAGCGCGAAGAAATCAAATTGGTTTACAGTAGCTCATGATAAAGATATTGGATATTGGATGACCTCGAATCAAGCTGCTGTAGGTGGTAGTTTGAATATCCGGCTGTGTCGCTTTCCAAGTATTGTGTTACCAAATTTTATTTTCGATCGGTAGTTCGTCCTAATATCACAGTTGTTTGATTTAATTATTGCCGAATACTTTCGTTATTGGATCTGAGTGCATTCTATGTTCTTGATGAGTGATTGCCTTACTTTTGTATCATTTTGTCAGATAATACCCCGTACTTTTCTCTACTCTCCCACAATAGACAAGGTAATCTTAGGCAAGAAGCGAATTTTACAAAGGCTTTTAGTCGTTAAGGCTAAAGTTCATTTTATCTCGTGTACATTAGCCTCAGTAGCGAGCACCTGTTGAGAGAAGGACAGAAGCGGTATGCCGGCGACCCCAGAGTCGAAACTAGGAAAGAATGGTATCTTCCTTAATTTCCAGGTCTCCCTGTTCACGCTACTTATTTGCTAGACGCAAATTATTACAGTTCTCTCATGTCGTTCAGTTTCATTCAGTAATTCTGATGCAACACAGATATAATCCTTTGGTATCTATATCCTCAGGTGGTCCTTGTAAATAGTTGTGGTCAATGCCCTCAGACAAACAACAAATGGGGAACTCGGGCGAACGTGAGGAAAACATAGAAAACGTTCGCCAAGGTAAAGAAAGAGATAAATTTTAAACGCCTCACAGAAATCTTTTCCCTCCTGTCACGTGGAAATCGCGAAACCTTTTTTGTCACTATGTGTTTTATTGTCTCTGAGTTTTAAACCTCTGAACTTAATTTACACCTAATTGTCTACCTTATGCCTTATTTTCGTGTCTGTTTACGCAGAGTCAGCGAACAGTTTTATGCTTTTAGACCAATTGTACCTTATGTTCAAAAAAACATTTGTATGGTCCGCTGAATTCTAAAAGCGATCGGTTTTCAGTTACGTTTGCATGAAACGATATCCTTGTTTGTATTTAACGATAGGTTGTTGTCAAATGGTCTACTTTTTCTCGAATTTACACCAAACTGCTTACTTTCAACCTACATTTACACACTGGGTTTTATATAAGAATTGCTTATAGCACAAATGAGCCCTAAGTTGTATAGTCTTCGCATGACTTTTATTTTTTTTGCCAAGTTTACGATCGCCTATATACTTCGGAGTTTTCTATCAATTACTTTGGTCAGCCAATTCTCCTATGCGATTGTCACTAGTTATAAGGATGATGAGTATGATAAGAACCATTTATTCAAATGCATTACATTTACGGTTGCAAAAGTACTAACATACAGAAAGGATTGTCTTCCACCATAATCAAGGAATAATGATATGTAGCTTGAGTGAGGTGTATTGAAAACATTCATCAGAAATGCCTCACTTTAAACCAAATACCAGTGCAAAATTTTACGTGCATCTAATTTATTTCAACGCACTAATTCCAGCTGAACATGTAGATATGTGTCTAAGGAGCAGTTGTTAAACATCGATAGTGAGCAATGTAGGAAATAACAATAATAAAGACGTAGAAGTCAGTCATTCCTCAGTTTTTACTCAGGAAGAATGTTTGTCGCTTGAATCCAGGAACGTATTGCGATCAGAGGTTATCAGTGTTGACAATCAAGAAAATTGGAGACTACTTTGAACCAGAAGCTATCTGTTCGCTAACCAAAGGCCGAGTCTACGGCGCAGTAGTTCGCTCCGTTCTACTATATGGACGCGAAACATGACAAGTCAGAGTAGAAGTTATTCTTAGGTTACTGATATTCCGTCGTAGATGTCTCCGAAGCATTGCTCGTTTATCCTGTGGGAACCGAGTAAGCAATGCTTTCGTTAGGAAACGAGTACTAAGTAGGGATGGCAGATCAATAGATAATGTATTGAAACTTCATCATTTGAAGTGCTTGGGACATGTGTTACGAATTCCAAACCACTAACTGCCTCGATGAGCGATATTTTGTGGTTTAGGAGTAGGCTGGAAGAAAGTTAAGGGCTGGCACACCAAAACACGGCAGAAATTCATGAAGCTACTGAAGAAGTGGACTGAGTCATGTCGGTAGGTGTCGACTTCCTGGTTGGGGTCCGCGAGTTGAATGTCACCGATGATTAGACACCTTGAATGTGACATGACTCAAAATCGTTTGCAATGGCACAGGTGCATTCATTGAATGTGTTCTCTCAAATTCTAAATTTCTCAATTCCTCGCCACCCCTAACTTCCTCTTTCTAAAGTTATCTGACTGAACTGTATTTCTCAAACTATATCTTCGAACCCTAATCTTCTCCATTACAGCCAATACATCTACTATCTCTACGACTGTGGGATTTGAACTGACAATTGCGTCTCTGCGCTAATGCGGTATGGCAACCTGAACTTATGTAATGACGTACGAAGCTTTACTTCGTAACTGACTGACTTCGAACCAAACTTATCATTATTGTTTGAGCACAAGCATTATTACAAAAGGGCATCTGCATATTTATTTACCATACAAATTGATGAATTTGTGGATTTGCTGGGCTACTTCCCGTGGGCCAAAACTGAAACAGACTTTTTTAGAAGGCCACACGCCAGACCTTTGACCAAAAGACGTAGTCCGTAAAGCTTTAGAGCAACTTCAGGAGATAAAGTCACATGGTGGCGAATGACCAACTATAGATTCATTCGCCATTCGTTCAGTCAATTTCCTCGAACCCATGTTCAACATTGGTTTGGAATCAGGGTTTCCCAACTCCCATTGATGAACCCTCCATACTCACCAACACGGTTAAATCGATGGACACTCACTTTTCGTCCTCTCAATTTTGTAAACAACACCCCTGCTATGAGAAGGCAGTGAGTAGGACTTCTCGGACAGTGGCTTTGTATGCATGGCCATATGAGATCATTTCGAGGACTCAAGTTACTCATCCCAAATTTTACCGTTACCTTGCGTCGAAGTACAGAGTGTTAGCATAAACTTATGTATATAATTTTGAAGAAATAAAACTTCCTAATTGATGAGTTCAGAATTACTAAATGCCTGAAATTAAAATATCCAACTTAACTGTACGCAACTTGCATTTCTGTGATATCAAAGTTGACAGGATCTTACAAGTAATTATACTTCCGCATCACCGCGTCTCTGTAAACAATTAGCGAAAGTAACGCATCTGCCATTTGCGTTCATCTGTGTGAAAGAGAAAGATGTTTCCATCATGCCATTTATGGCTTCTGACGTCTAGACTAAGTCAGACTTTGGAAACAAATCCATCGAAAATTGATTTGTTTGCAGTAAATCAAAATAGTTCAGATCCAACATTTGACAATCGACCAACTGTCGTTCGCGTTCACGTTTTCTGTTAACTTCACACCCGATATGGTATCCGGACGCATGCATAGTTTTTGACCAATAGACCAGTTAGGTACCTCAACATGAATCTTCTATGACATTGCTTAGTCGGCTGCAAGAGAGTTTTCCTGCTACTTATACCAAAAATTTAGTTAACTACGGTTTTAAACTATGTGGATCCGGTATCTTTCCATATAATAACTTATTTTTTAGATTTGTACTATGTTTTAATGTCTACTGTCTTTGTTCTGAAATTTTCAGACCGTGTTATACCGCGGAAAGCGTAATGAAGCTGGCATTTGTTGGATGAGTCTATGCGTAACATAATATATTATGCTTACTTAGGTAACTGGGTCAAACAAGGGCATTGGGTATAGTATTGTTGAGAAGCTTGCAGAATTTTATAAAGCATCAGGAGAATGGGATATTTATCTAACAGGTTAGTGAGTAGTTGTTGCTTGATAATGTAACAGCTCGAAATGTTGAGCTTGGTCAGGAAGCGGTGAATAAGCTCAATAACAAGGGTCTGAATGTTAAATTCCATCAACTAGATATAACGGATCCGGATAGTCGAAAAGCATTTCTAAAATTTGTAGAGAATACCTATCCTAATGGAATCAACATTGCAGTGAATAATGCTGGGATTGCCTACAAGGTTTATATTTTATTTTCTATATAGTTTTGAAGGTCGATTCCATGGCTCCTTTTAGCGAGCAAGCTCGAGTTACGGTAAATACTAACTTTACATCAACTGTTGATTTTACGGAGGAGTTCATTCCTCTACTGGCTAAACATGCTAGGTACGTAACCAAAGCTAATTTATAGTTTTCTAGGGTTGTTAATGTATCAAGCTTTGCTTCTTTGACGTGTCTCAAGAAACTTAGTAATGATCTGTACGAGAAATTCATTAGTTCAATAAATCTTCTGGAACTCAGGCAACTTGTCTTAGAGTTTGTAAAGTGAGTCAATTTATTCGAACTAAAGCCATAATAGAGCAATAATTTAAGTAGTTCTATGAAATGACTGGATTGGGTACAGAGGGGAACTGATGTGTTTGCTATTTTCGTCTTCTCTTTGACCACTGGGTTAGAAGGAGCTCGAGGACTACCACGCGTTAGTCTTGGTGTATGTCTATTGATTCCCGACCGTAGCTGTCACCTTGACGTGGTGGTCGGGCTTGCCTATCGTGGTGACCTAACCGAGCTATACTGGCTGAAACATATGTTCCTCAGGGTTCTACCATGCCAGGCAGATCGATTGGAGAACGATGAGACTAAAAGCAGCTACTCAAGGTCTGAGGGTTAAGTCGTACTGCTGAATGTGTTGGAGGGGTGTGACGGCAGTAAGGTGTTTCCCTCAGATAACCAGCATCTGCAGCGATGCTGCCTTCTCACAAAGAAGGTAGAGGTTAGAAAAGGTCGACTCTAAATATGTCACACCTCACCCTACCCAACAGATTTCCGTCTCCTTGGGTAAGGGTGCCCACTAAGGGCTTTTATGAGCGGAGCTAATACTCAAGAAACCCTTAATAAAAATGCCGTGCGTGACCGGCCTCAAGCAGTTGTCCCGTGGTTCTGCGGTCACGCTCCCAGGTCTCTAAGACTAACACTAGTCTACCTTCCTTTTCAGGTCCCTCAAGAAACAACCTTCCACGGTGTGGGAAGGCTGAAAGTGACATCCACTCTCATACCCGTGACAACACACGAGACCAAATTGGTCAAAATCGAATCCTTTCTACACCGCTTAGTAACTCCCTTATCTCCTCGTCCAACACTCCTTTCGATCGTTTGTCACCTCACGCCACTGAAGCAAACGGTACGAGCTCTCGAAACATTATTCCTGATTTCTTGAAACACCTCACTAAGTTACATATTGGAGCTCTTAATGTTTGAACCTTCTGTCATATAGAGCAACAAGCTTCGTTAGCTGGGACTCTGGAATCCCATGCCATCGATGTATGTTGCGTCTCCGAAACGCACATACAAGACCCGATTAAAATCATCAATTTGGTCTCACCTAGTGCAGATAGAGACACAACAAGGTTTACACTTCGTATTTCTGGAAGCACTGATGCCGCTTCTCGTGGTCTCGCCGGCGTAGGTGCAGTATTGAGTCCTAGGGCAGAACAAGCTATCTTAGACTGGATCCCGATCGACAGTCACTTATGCGCTGTCCAACTAAACGAGACGGTACGGATTCGTCAAGATGGGGACACTCGCCATTGCCAGTTCGTCGTATCTGCCTACGCTCCCACTGACTACAGTTCAGACGACATGAAATATAAGTTTTATAGAAACCTCTCTAAACTTCTCCAAAATGTTAAGCGCTCTGATATAGTATTAATGGCTGGTGACTTTAATGATCAAGTAGATAGACTAAGTGAAAAGGAAAGACACCTTTGTGAATCTTATGGTGTCGCAGCTAATAGATCAGATTAAGGCGACCTTCTGCTGCAGCTATGCTCAGATAAGCGCCTATTCCTAGCAAACACTAACCTTAAGCACAAGGTAAAACACCTTCTGACCTGGCGACCCCCAAAGCCAACTGAACGACGGACCCAACTATATCACAGCGCTATAAGCCATCGGTGGAGAGATTCTGTTGAAGACTGCCGCTTATTCTGGAGCACATGTTTAGACTCAGACCATGATCTAGTGCGAGCGCGTATTTATTTGCGCCTTACTGGACGCAAGAAAAATATCGCAAGGAAACCTGTTAGGGCTCTACTTAATGATAATAAAGCTAAGAATATATTTCAGGAACAACTAGATAAACAGTTAGGCGACCATGTAGTAAGTGATGCCCACCCTGAAACAACTTGGAATGATATCAAAAAGGCTGTGGAAACGGCAGTGATATCTGCTAGTAAGGTAAACCATATGTCTACGAAGAAGCCGTGAATCTCAGTAGCATCCACCGAACTGACAGAACCTCGCGAACACACCCCATCTGGCTCTGAACACGACAAACAGCGAATTCAGCTTAAGTGCAGGCTGATAAGAAGCCTACACAATGACTGCGAACAGTGGTGGGTAGCAAAAGCGAGAGGGATGGAAAAGGCAGCGGCGATAGGCGACAGCAGACAACTGTTCCGCCTTATCAAAGAAACCGCTATTAGAAACCCACCAGTTAGCTAAACTATCTCAGAAAAGGATGGTCTGATTATTGATTATCAACCTAGGAGATTGTATCGATGGACAGAACACTTTAGGGATCAGTTCAACTGACATTCAGCCCATCTTCGGTTGCCCATAATCTCCAGTCATCCTGAATAACAAATTGATATTAGTCCTCCGAGTCTTAATAAAGTCGAAGAAGCTATATGGAATCCGGAGTGAGGGCGAGCAGCGGGTCCTGATAGATTGATCCCTGAGATTTGTAAAGATGGCGGTACAGTTTTAGCAGTTAGATTGACTGAGATCCCATCTGACTGGTCTCAATCCCTGGTTTTCCCAATTTATAAGAAAGGACAAAAGTCTTCGTGTGACAATCAAAAGGGAATCAGTCTAACTAATATAGTTTCTAAATTGTTGGCCTCTATTATACTTGGACGCCTAACTAGAGCGCATGAAGAGCAGACTAGAGACAACCAGGCTGGTTTCCGAGCTGGACGTGGTTGTATGGACCACATCTTCACACTACGACAGGTTCTAGAATAAAGACACACGTTCAGACGCCCCACAATAGTAGTATTTCTCGACCCTTAATGTGGCATTTGACTATGTCGATTGTGAGCTTCTGTGGCAGTGTCTGTCATTAAAAGGTGTACCGAAGAAGTACATTAACCTTATACAAGTTCTCTACTCGAACACTACTGGTCGAGTGAGAGCTTATGGCGAACTTTCATCGGAATTCTTTACGTCAAGCGGTGTTTGTTAGGGCTGTCCACTCTCTCCATTCCTGTTTGACTTTGTCATATACATGCTTTTAGAGTTAACATTATCATCGTCTGACTTCTCAGGAGTGGACCTTTTACGTGTAGACAAGCTTGCTGACTTAGAGTATGATGATGACATAATACTGTTTGGTGAAGATGATGACAAAATGCAGAGTCTTCCGACCACCCTAAGCAACAATGCCAGCATGTTTGGGTTGCGATTCTCCGCGTCAAAATGCAAAATGTTGCTTCAAGATTGGGTTGCATCGGCACCTGAAACACTGATAGGGAGTGAAGTAGTCGAGCGTGTTGACCGCTTCACTAGTCTGGGAAGTCTCATCAGTGTCGATGGCCTGGTGACTGACTAAATCTCAGCACGGATACAGAAGGCTCGATTGCCTTTTGCCAACCTGCGTCACTTGTGGCGAAGGCGAGATATCTGTTTGCTGACTAAAGAATGAGTATACTGTTCAGCAGTTCGCTCTCTCCTACTTTATGGTTGCGAAACATGGCCAATCAGAACAGAAGACATTAGTAGTTTATTAGTATTTGATTATAGATGCCTTCGAAGCATTGCTCGAGTATCGTGGGACAACCGAGTTAGCAATTCTGTCGTTAGGAAATGGGTGCTAGGTAAGGATGGCAGGTCAATAGACGAAGTAATGAAACTTCATCAGTTGAGGTCGCTTGGGACATGTGTTACGTATGCCTAATCACTGAATGCATCGTCGAGCTATGTTTTGCGATATAGGAATAGGTTGGAAGAAAGTTAAGGGCTGCCACACCAAAACATGGCAGAAATTCATGAAGCTACTGAAGAAGTGGACTGAGTCATGTCGGTAGGTGTCGACTTCCTGGTTGGGGTCCGCGAGTTGAATGTCACCGATGATTAGACACCTTGAATGTGACATGACTCAAAATCGTTTGCAATGGCACAGGTGCATTCATTGAATGTGTTCTCTCAAATTCTAAACTTCTCAATTCCACATCTCTTTATCTTTTTAAGTCTATGTCACTAGATTCTACTTCTTGAACAATATCTTCTAATCCTAACTTTTCCGACTGCTGCTAATACCTTTACTACCTCTACTACTATTGGTTTTTGATTGACAATTCCATCTCTGTGTTAATGTGGTTTGGCAACATGATCTGATGTACGTACGTACGAGGTTTTACGTTGCTGTTCTTGTTGATAATGAGGTATGTCAACAGTATAGAATCTCATTATGATCTGTCAGTGTGAATTTCTTCATTTAATATATATTCAAAAGCAATTATCATCCTGGTTATATTATTCTCTAAATTTATTTACATTTAATTTGCTAGCAAGATTATTTTGAAAATGCGGAATTATTAGTATGTAGCCCTTTTAGCTTTATTTATTGAGCAAATATTTTTTAAAAATCACAATTAGGTCTGCGGAGGATGATACCTATTCTGAAAGAGGCTGGCCATCAACTGCATATGGTGTGTCCAAAATGGGCCTT